TGTGAAACATTCAGGTAAGTCTGGAAAGCTATCCCTTATAGTAATAATATATGCTAGCAATGAATGTGCATTCAATTCGACACACATATAGCAATTATTAGTTATTAAGTTGTCTCTCACAGTCATAGATCGTTGCTGAATAATCCATTGACGCCAGTATCTTAGGAAGAATACAGCATACCATATCTCCTCAAGCCTTTTTCTAGGAGGGTAACTTTTATTTAAGTAGCTGTTAACAGAGGAGTCGACAATTTCAAGATAATGCTTGGTCGCTACAGCATCTGGTATTGAATCCAGGAGGTGTGCTGCTTGAATTAAATGCTCAATAGCAGCAAAGTTTTGTTTGTCTTTACAATCAAGATCTCGCTTCCTAATGCCATGTACATCTTTGCCATGTAAACCAGTAATAATTTTTAAATGGGCACTAGAAGCAACGTAACACCCCATAGGCAGCAGTATAGAAGGCTTCAATGGTCTTGTCTTGAACTTCACAGCAATGTGTATCATGTCTTGTAGGTAGAAAGTAGAGTATAGCTTTGAGCATAACCATTTATTGAATGAGGGAGGTGTGTTGAGGGGTGTACTTTCATTATTAAGTGAAAGTGTAGTATTGCCTGATGTGAGATGATTAGTCATATGATTAGTGAGATGATCATTTCTCCAACATTGGCATAAATTCCTTTAAGAAATTCTATCAGTAAGGTCGAGTCTTCTCGATTGCTGATTGCCCAGGCAACAGGAACCCCTTCCCCATAGTCATCTATCACCACAATAGAAATAAGGAGAAACTTGTATTGTGTTGTGCCATGAGTGGCATCCATTAACACTGCCTTATTGCCGTACTGCTTCATGACATCTTTTTGAAACGGTGTTTGTATAACAATTAAAAAGTCATCATTCCCTAAATTATTCATATGCGCAGATTGTGGCATCCCTTGTGGTTTGAAAAGTAAAATTGGATTATTTGGCTCATTCTGTAATTCTTCCACCCATGCACAAACACTAACAAGATCATTAGAATGCTTCATTATACTTTTGATGTTGAGCTGTTTCTTTGTATTCAATATACTGTAGGTCGGGATATATTCGCAGCTGCTTATTTTTGCGATTTTTCTCCGCACTCAGCCGGCAATTACCATGGTTACCAAATGCAATTTTAATTGAAAAATCCGCGATATTAATAGCAAAAGACTCTGTTGCAGTGTTCTTGGGTTGTTGTTCTTCTTGCTGTTACTAATCCTTGGTCTCTTTGGAGCTGTTTCAACCAGAGCTACTCTCTTCACTCTGCCTCGCCGTATCTTAGCCCATTCTTGGGACTCTCCACCCATTTATTGACTTGGGCGTGGTTAATTATCACCAGCAAGTGGAGCGGCAAGGATTTCCAGCAAAGAGCTCAAAGGTAGTGGTCCATACAAGAAGATAGCGGATGGAGAACTGGATGGCTCCCACTAAAGCTGCTAAAGAATAGATAAATAGCTGCTGAACACTGTAATTGTATAAACACGTGGTGTTATTGTCATAGCAAAATCGATTGGTTTCCATGGTATTAATTGAACCTTTTTATTAGTTTTTATTAGTGGTGGGCGATACTCATAATTTCAGATCGATTCGATAACGATTCGATACACATGCAATATCGACACATATCGATATGTTTTCGATACAATATTAAAACCACGCCCCTTTAATTAATGATTATTAATAACCATTCATAATGTTTTAATCGTTTTTGGAATGGATGATGCATGAGTCAGTTAGCTGTTGTTATTGTTAAGAAAGAGGAAAGCATTAACGTTCTCTTCCTTCAGACGACTTCTTTTGCTCGATATCAACTCCCCAGCTTTGCTAAAAAGCCTTTCTGAAGGTACTGAGGTGGCTACCGTTGAAAGGTACACTTTGGCTACTTTGTGTAGTGCTGGGTAGACGTGCATGTTGCTATGCCACCACTCCAGTGGATTGGATTGCCTACTGATCACTGGTTGTTTAAAATATTGATCGATTTCAGTGTTGATTGATATTTCTGTAGTTCTCATAGAAGTGGAGCTCTCTGCTTCTTCGTCAAACATGTCCCAAACAGGGTTGGATGTTGCGGGTGTTGATGCGGATGTTGACTGCTGTGGAGTCTCCTCTTCCACCGGAGCTGTTGATTCCACCAGCGACGTTGCATCGTCTATCATCAGCCTTTTCATTCTCTCGAAGCAAGAAGTATGATTTCTTGAAAAAGGAACCTTTTTGAAGCGAGGATCGAGTAGTGTAGCAACAGCTAAAACAGATTTATCTTCCAATCCTACAAACCTATTGGACATTTGTGCTATTAGTTTCTCAGCTAGTAATTGAGCAATGGTATCAGTGGTGGATAACTGGTGGGTTGCTACTAGCTTCTGAAGGCCCCGAGCAAGAGGGATGACCTTGGATGCCGACACGTACTTCTCCGCTGATACTTCCGTTGTGACAGCCTCAAAAGGTTTGAGGATCTCAAGAACTGCTTCAATAGAGCAGTTCTGCTCAACTGGCAAGACTAGGCTGGCTTTATCGAGCATACACAAGGTGGTCCGAACAGCTTCTTGTTGTAGTAAGTACCGCTCCATCATATAAAAGACAGAATTCCACCGTGTGTCGACATGTTGGATTAACCGGTGATTAGGTAAACCGAGCCTGTCCTGGATTGCGGTTAACTTGTCTGTGGCCTTTGAACTCTTATGAAAATAGGTGACAATTCTCTTTTTACCATCCACAATGGCTTGCAGCTCTTCAACATCATTAATGGCACAAGTGACGACAAGGTTGAGCCTGTGGGCGAAGCAGACTAGGCTATTCCACCTGTTTGAGCGAATGGCTCCAGTAATGTTTGAAGCAGCATCAGTAATGGCACAGTGCACTTTTTTGGTGATATTCCACTTCTCAGTAACCACTCTGAGAGCTGCAGCCAAATTTACGATTGTGTGTGCCTCATCTATGTGACTGGTTTCCAAGACAAAGGATCGCATTTGCCAACCCTCATCAACCAAGTGGCAGGTGACCATCATGTACCCCATGGTGCACGAGACGTCCAAAGGTCTGTTGTGATAGTACACCACTTGCTTTGGTCTAGTATACCCCTTACTTCCTGTTCCTTTTTAGCATAGAGGCGGGGCAAGCGGTCCCTCATGATGGTGCGCCTACTTGGAGGGATATACTTAGGGTCAAGCACCTTCAAAAACTTCAGGAAGCCGTCATCCTCCACAATGGATGCTGGTTGCAAATCAGTGACGATCATATTTACCAGTGCGTCATCCAGGATCATACGATGACGTGAGGTTTCTACCATAATAATTGAATATAGAAGTGAGCATTAAGATTGCTATACTTACTACTGTAGGTTTGAGTTTTATTGATGACTTCATGTAGTGTTGGCTGTTGCTGTGCTGCAGTTTGTGTTTGCTGCTTTCTGGCTTTCTGCTGTTGCTGGTATTGTACTACATCTTCATGTTCCGTTTTGTGGTACCTCTCCAAGTGCTATATCATAGTAAGTGCTGAATGTACTATTACTATTATTATATATTATATAAATACCTTCATCATGTTTGAAGTATTTTTAGATGTCATTATTTTACAGTCACACAGATCGCAACGGGCACTGAGAGCATCTAGTTTTGTAAAGTGTGTCCATAAAATGCTTCGTTTTGCTGATCTATTTGCTGTTCCTTATGGGCAACTATCATTAGAGATAGTAGACTCTACACCAACAGAAGAACTAGAAGCCATCATAGATCAGTAGAACTACTAGACAAACTTAAACAGGCACCTTCTACCAGACTCCCAGTCTCCCACCAGAATTCAAACTTGGCAATGCAGCTGACCTCAGTGACCTGATAAAGCTATTGCAGGATTTACAGCTGCTCCAATGATTATTAATTGTTATTATTAATATATTTGTAATAACTATTAAGTTAATTAGTGGTAACTATTAATAAATGGGCGTGGTATATCGAATCGTTTTTGCAATCTCATGGTTTTCGATTCGATACCGTATCGATACATAGAAATATCGAATGGTATCGATACTGTATCGATATATCGCCCACCACTAGTTTTTATTATCGTGAAAATAAGCAGCCGCCAGCCGCGAATATATCCCGACCTACGGTATCTTGTCGTGACAGTAATTGTTTTCTAGTAATACTTCCATTAGGCATACTATCACTGATGCTATCAAGTATAACATCAACTGGGACACCATCATGTAGCTTTGCAGCAATATTAAGCCTTAATTCTGAAGAAATTGGTAAATGTGCTAACTCTAGCAAGTGGCCAGTGTGTGTAGAGCAATATTCAACTGTAACAGAGCCAGTTACCGTATCTGTCATTACCTTCATATTAGCTATACAAGGTGCATCAATTTTTGATGAGCCTTGAGTCTTCAAGTGCTTCTTGCCCTCTCCTCTTAAACGAATCTTGCCCGATCGATTACAGTAAAGATACTGATACAATATTGTACCATACTTTCGATTAGAAGAGTGTTGTACGTAGGAAGAGCTAGTTTTTTTCTTGTTCGTCCAATTTCCAATATAAGAACTCATGTTTGCTAGCAAAATTGTGGGTAGTAATTTGAACATCTAGTTTGTGATCATTTCTAAGATGCAGTATTACGTCCTTCATTGTCGTCAGCCTATTTTTAATAAAAATGATATATATATATATATATATGTATATAGATAATACTAATATTAATCTGCATAATAATGACAATAGTAATGAGAGTTCTACTTTAATAATATTGTTAATAATATTAATAACGATAATAACAATAATGATAATAATGATAATGATAATAATAATAATAACAACAATAAATATTATCAATAATAATTAATATTAATATTAAATAAATAATAATAACAATAATAGAAAATAATGTTCTTAACTTACTGAATTTTGCACAAATGACACTCAAGATGTCTACTTGTGACTTCTTTCTCGGGGTGCTTCTTTTTGATATGCCTTGATAGCCCACTACGAGTGAAGAACGATTTGTCACAATCATCAAAAGAACAAAAAATTGAAGGAGAAGGCGTAGCCATACAGCACAAGTGACAAGAGAGGTACCAAGTGAAAAGAAAAACACAGTAAAAGGTGAGAAACGACGAGAGAAATGGTGAGAAACGAAGGGAGAAAGACTGCAGTGACAGCATTACAGCACACGTGTTAACATCATTAATTTTTGGGTGGAGTAGTAGGCATAGTTAGCTAAAACGGACTAAGACGGAGTTATCCAAGATGGCAACGGTCTGTACCTAATGGCTTGTTTCCATTACTGCTTCAGCCATTTTTAATTTTAGCACCATGTGCTTTATGAAAAATTGAAAAATTGTAATCGGTTAATTAGAAAATTTAGAATTATTGCGGTATTTACTTAACATACCGCGGTGTAAATGCAATACCGAAATACCGCTCAACACTACTTTTGAACTATATTTACAACGTTTATATTGCAGTAATTGAGAAGTGTTCCTTGTCATTGAAAAATTTAAACAGCTGAAAAGTGTTGTTACCATTTATTTTAAAATCAGGCGTCCTAGATTTTATTCACTTTTCCTTCTTTAGTTATCATGTACATGTATATGTTCAAGAAATTTTTTATGACCTCAGTCTCTCCATTTATTTTAGTCCATCTTTTTATCACAGAATTTAGCATATGGACTACCCTGTCATTGTTGCTCAGGGTTCTTCCAGCTTTATCAGTTACCACAAATGCATTTGGCAGCATCTTTGGCAGGTTGAGCCTTGGACTCTAGAATCAAAGAAAGAGGAGGATGACCAGGTTGAATAATTATTAATTTTTGGTTGCTTTGAAACTGGAGTAATAATCAGTTTATTATCTATCATCTTATTCCTAAAAGCAACACAAATTTCAATAAAAATAATTTCAATGATCTTCATTTTCATGTTAGCTCTTATTTTATATTTCTTGCAAAGATGTTGTAGCTGTGCACGCTTCAGAGCTTTTAGCGATTCAGGATTCTCACAGTCAGCCATATAGTAATCAGGCTTTATCAGTTACTACAGCTAGATTTGATAGCAACTTTTCCATTAAATTTGTATTTTTTATTATAGTATTTACTTAGCATAATAACTGCTCTGTCATTTCGGCTTAAGGTTCATTGGGTTTTTAAGTACCACATCTGCATTTGGTAGCATCTTTTATTGTGCTTCTAAAGAGCATTGGCAGGTCAAGCCACATACTTGAGAATGAAAGAAGGAATCTCCTTTGAGAGGCTTGCAATTGATATGTAATTGTAATCTTTTGCAAATCATAGTAACTTCTGAGACTGTCAATTACATCTGCATTAGTGACAATTTAGACTCTCGAGAAGTCAGTGCGATCACACAGCTATAGTGATTGAATAACTTGAAAATCTTTATGTCTATATTCATATCATTTGCTTATATCATATAGCAACAAAACCCTTTTATTATGAAACCTATTTGTCACAAAATTGTACCATTTGTCATAATAGGATAGATTTTCATATTCAGCTGAAAAGAGATGTTAAGATTTGATATTGCATGTAACTTACTGTAGTAGGAGTTGGAGAGTCTAGGAACACTGGATTGTCTTGGTTGGTGTAAATATTTTGTCAGGAAAGTAGTGCACACGTCATGGACTGTATAAAAGATCACAAATTGCCACAACAACGCAAATTATTATTAAGCATTATTATTAATATAAAAAGAGTCTAACTAAGACAAGTGCCAAAAAACACAGCAAGCAAGTAACTAGACATATAAAGTAACATTATTGCATCATTATTATTACTCATTAAAAATTGTTATTATTATTACTAATGAAATTATTATTTTCATTATTAAACTAACTGTATGTACAAGTTTATCATCCTCCTATTTTATGATGATTTACCTTATAAGAATATATTTGATTTAAAAATGACATCGACACTTGTACAGCTCCCGTAACATTCGTTTAAACGTCTTCAGTTTTGCCTTTAATGTGTGATTCAAGGTATCTTCCTCATTAGAGTGGACAGACTTCATGACATCAATATCTCAACTGTCTTGTGAGTAAACAAACAGCCCTTGAAACTAGTTGCTCAGGATAACCTCTCATTAGTTCCTAAACATTAAATACTGCAAGACACTCCATGAACTGGTCAATTTGAAAATAAAATTATAAAATTAAAGACTCTTACAGTGTTAAGGAGACACGACTCCTCTCTACATTAACTTGTTGATTATCATTCTGGGTTGGTGGACAGTGCCTTGAAGCTCTTGCTCACCTAAGGAGTGTATCCTGACTTTGACAATTTTTGCAAACTCACTATATTTTAAATCTTCTTAATTGAGTATTCTGTTTTAAAGAATGAAAAATGGTTTCAACTTAAACATTTAATCTGATTGATAGCTTTCTTTATCAACACTGGATTATCAGTATTCCAATCATCTTAGTATTCATAAAAATGCCTGCAGACAGGAGCACATTTAAAAGGTGTCATTACCAATCTTAATTCATTTCATTTTGTTGTAATATCAAGGTTAAAGGGTTAATATCAAGGTGATTTAAGCTATGTTCCTTGTTAGAGTGGACAGTCTTAATGACATCACTATCTCTACTGTATTAAGGTGAAACAACTCATCTTTGCTTTAATTTGACCATGTGCTTACCTGAGCATTGGATAAGTCTTACCAGAGGTTGTAATTCCAGTGCAAGTAGCATTAATTCCAATGTCCACCCTTACTTGCAAGTTAGGATCATGTACCTCTATATTAGCAAGTTGTTGTACTGTATGCAAAGGAACCTTTTGCCTGTAGGCCTCAAGAGCCTCAAGCAGTAGCCCTGAAGGGCACGCAATAGTGTAGACTCGAGGCTTCTTTAAGAGGTGGACCATTGGGCCATTATTGCAAATGTATTGGCATACTTGCTGTTTGGTAGGAAAAGGCTTGGTCTTTAAGTAGATTTGATACCCAACTGCCTTTTCAATTGACCCTTTACAGCATTTGCAAATCTAATGTCTTCCTCAATGAATGTATGCAAATCCAGCTTATATTGTATCCTAATCTGCATCACATCAAAGTAAAATGAGACTTGGCTCATTAGTATCACATCATCATCCAGGAAAAGCAACTGGACTTGTTCTGCAAAACACAGCTAAAAATATGCTTTATCAAAGCATAATACATAAAAAATTTAATAAATAACTTCTTACTGTTTGCTGCTCAACCTCTTCATCAGAAGAAATGATTCTCCTTCAGTTGACTCTCTATAGCCTGATATTGACAATTTTTACGTACTCACTAGTTAACATTTATTAATTCAGCCCCCTGTTGATGGGTGACCCATTCCCCTGAAGTACCTTCAGTTCAGTTACATTATTGTGTTCTACTGAAGCCAAAACTTCCTAAACTTTACTGAGTGTAGAAATGTGGATCAGTTTCATGAAAATAAGGAATGTCTTTGAGATTTATTTAAATGCCAGTACTGTGGGGAATAAGGCACTAAGGTATTATGAGGAATGCAGGCAGTCAGAATAATTATTGGTGTTTAAAATATGACACAGAAGTAC